ATCGAGACGGGATGCCTTTCCAGACGCAAGGGGCCCTTGCTGCCGCCGGCCGCTGCCCGCGGCGCGGGGTGGTCGCGGCGGTGGCCGTGCCGTGGCCGTGCTGTGGCCGTGCCGTGGCCGTGCCCGAGGGTGGTCCGGGACAATCTGCGCATCCCGGAGTTAACCCCGTCTTAACTAGATTGGGGTTCAGGGCGGGGCGGGGCGGGGCGGGGCGGGGCGCACCTTTGCGGCGCCGGCTTCTGTTTGGGGGCGCCACCACTACCGCCACCCAGGCCACAGCGCCGAGCCCCGCCGAGCCCCCGAGTCCAGGGCCTCCGGGGCCTCCTCGGCGTGCGGTCGGCCGGCGCCCCTTGGCGTGGTCTCGCAGCTTGCGGCCCTCAAAGGGGACCCGACTGCACGCCGCGCCACGCCGCGCCACGCCCCGGTCGCGTGTAAACCCCGCACGCCCCATTTAACGGGCCGCCGTTTTGGAATTCATTGGCCGCTGGCCTCGAGATCCACTGCGGCCGGGCCGGGGGGGGGGGGGGTGTTGATAAGGGGATGGCGAGGTATGCTTCGGGATTGGCGGCGCGGCGGGTCGGTGAGGTGAGCAGCTTGATTCCATCCCCCCCCCCCCCCCCCCTTCACGAGTGCGACAAGGACACCAACTCGGCCATGCGCGGAATCAGGCGGGTGGAGGATGACAGAGGGAGCAGGTGACCGGTGTGGAAAAGGTTTCGAGGACTCCGGGGGTTGGAGCAGCGCAGGGGCGGGGGTGGGGGTGGGTGCGGGTCTGGCGGGCCACTTGCTATTCGGGTCGTGGGGCTGACACTGCGCAGAGAGCACACAGCACAGAGCACACACAGACACCCCCGCGGGCGCGCCTCCGAACCACCCCGTCGCTCTGTCTCCCTCGCACCCGTGCGGCGCCCCGCGAGCGCGACAGAGACAGAGCGCGGCCTGCTGGTGGGCACACTGCGAATCAACCCTTTCTTGCGCGCCTAGCGTAAATAATGCATATCGGAGTGATTGAGTTAGCGGCGCCTCACCGTTTTGCCGCGCGCCTCCACTGCAGTCTGATACCCCCCCCCCCTCCCCCGCAATCAGCGCCCCTCCCCCCGCCCTCATCAGCCTCGGGGCGCGTGCGGGCGAGGGAGACAGACAATGCATAAAGTATTTATGCGTTATTCGTCCGGCGGCTGCTCGGCGAAGGATCCGAGGATCTCGTGATCCGACGCACGTGTGGGAAAAAGGAGAGGCAAGCAGAGCCACTCGGCGTCGCCAAGCCACTCCTTCGGCTCCTTCGAGTCGAGTGCAGTTCAAGTTAGGGGTTCCGACTCGAAGGAGTTCAAAAGTCAGGGGTTCCGACTCGCAGCCCCGCATCCGTGACTCGGATGGGTTGAAGGAAGGCGTCGGGGACTTCTGAACTTTATTCCTGTCAGGGGTTGGAGGTACGTAGTTTCTCTCTCTCTCTCTCTCTCTCTCTCTCTCTCTCTCTCTCTCTCTCTCCTCTCTCTCTCTCTCTCTCTGTACCTTGGCCTTGATGGACAACAGTTTCTGAAACTGTCCCCTTCCCCCCACCCCCCCTACAGTCATCCTTGATCCGCACCTGCGCGCGTGACATATGGCCTACGCCGAAACTGGGCCAAAGCCGTCGCCGCATCACCACACACAAACAAAACACGCGCGCACACACACACACACACACACACACTGCTACGCGACGTAGCGCCAGGTGCGTGCTGCGGCGCCGACGCACCGATTTTCGTCCAAAACGAGAACTACTGCGCCCCGCTGTCCGCATTTTGGTCCGGTTGGCCGGCTATGGCCTCGTTTCTGACTTTTGCTCTGAGGCGCGGGGGTGATCTCGCCAACAACAACAACAACAACCGAAATCTACAGTGCTCCGCGTGCAACCCACCCCCGGGGACCCATATGTCTCGCATCGCAGGTGGCTGCTGAGTAATTCGATCGGAGGGGCTGTGTGTGTGTGTGTGAGCGTGAGCGAGAGAGAGATTCTTCTTGCGTGTGTGTCATCTCTCTCACACACACACGCCCGCTCGCATGCAGTCACCCGCAAAGCAGTGTGGTGGAAAGCGACCCGCCCGTCGACAGGTGATCGACCACCGGCGGCCTCCATTTTGTCGCATTCCCACTCGAACGGTGTCCCCGCGCCCCGCACTGCAGGTGTGGCCGGCATGCATGCAGGGCCTGCCAGGGCCCTGCGAACCAGGCGGTCCCGCGTCTTCGGTTTTTGTTGTTTTCGTTTTCATTTTCGGCCGCTGTGCTCCGCGCCCGCCAGCTGACGGGGCGTACTGTCTCGCTTGCAAGGTCGGCCCGGCCCAAACCATTCCCGTGTTCGGGAGTCACACGCATGCGTCGCTGCAATCACGTCAGCGGCATGCACTCCAGTGCTCGCTCCGTCTCTCTCTCTCTCTCTCTCTCTCTCTCTCTCTCTCTCTCTCTCTCCTCTCTCTCTCTCTCTCTCTCTCTCTCTCTGGCTGATAGCGCCTTGCGGGCAGGCCGCCCGCCGCGCTCCGGTGCGCGGCACCACTGCAAGTTGCCTACCCTCGGAATGGCAGGCGGCGGCGAGGAAACCACAATCCAGAAATGACGTAACACCCCAACAGTGTCGCAGTGTGACGCCCTGGTCCTTTGTTGGTCGCCACCGTTTCCTCTTTGTCTCTTTCCGCCTTCCGACTTGCCGCTCGCGCTGCTTGCACTGCTTGCGCTATCGCGGCTCCACTCTCCGTGTCTTCTCCCCATTGTTTCCCGACTCAAAGAAAAGATAATGATTCGGCAAACACACACAACGCCGTAAAAATACACCGGAGACAAACGCACACACGCACTTCACAAGCGCACACACACCATATCAGATGCCACACGGACACATTTCCTGAGAGGGATGCCTTCTGGGCCAAGACAACAGCCCCTCCCCCACCCCCTTAAAATCGCCCCCCTCCTTCCTGCCACTGCCCTGTCTGGGGCTGAAATGGACCACATGTCGGGACGGAAGCGCTCGCTCGACGGCGTCGCGGCGCGGCGCCCTGCGGCGGTGTGCAGTAATAGCCGGAGTGTCTCGTGTGAGAAAACACAGTCAAACAAAAAGAAAATCACACTTTTCGTTTCACATTTACCTTGCGCCAGTGTGGTGTCCATAGTGAGACTTTCCCTCGCACTGCACAGAGACAGTTGGTTGCACGTCTGGATGAAAGGGTCCGCGAGTTATCGCAATGGAACGCCTTTAGCTCACGCGGGTGTGGGTGAGGCAACCTCTGCGTTGCGGGTCAGACATTGATTTGTTACGTATGCACACACACACACACACACACACACCACACACACTCACACACAGTCGTGACGTGTCGATCGGGCGATCAACGCATGTCGTTTGCCGCGTGTGTTTGCCGGTCGGACTCGTCGGATGGTGATTTGCTTGCCATGGGCTGCAGGGTCCTTTTCTTGGCCGCGACCGGTAAGCCTAGTCAAGCGCGTCACCCCCCCCCCCCCCCCCCCCCCTTTTCCCCCCTCCTCTTTCCGAGGTGGCGCCTCCGATCTCCGACTGGCACCGGCGCTTCCCACACTAGATGCTCTGCTCCGAAAATCGGACAGTCATCCTCGCCTCCCTATCATCAACTGTCATCACGGGTGAACTCGTTGAAGGGGGAGGGGGTTGGAGGGGAGGGGGGCATTGTCTCGAGCGGGCACACTGCGTGGCCTCACGCGGCGAGTAGCAGACTGATTCCGAGAGTCTGTCTGTCTCGCGCTCTTGGCGCGCTCCGTGTAAGTGCGAGGGAGACAGAGCGACTCTTGGAACCAGTGAGCAGCAGCTGGCTCCTGCAGGGCGACTCTCTCTCTCTCTCTCTCGCACTCATGGTGCGACCTGCAGGGTGTGTGAGAGAGACTGAGCGACGGAGAGCACTGTTCGGAGCCAGCCCCCCGCCAGAGGTGTGGCGCAGGGCGAGCGTCCCGAACGCCACCCAGTGGGAGGAGCGTTCGTGTCATGTCGTCGTGAGAATGAAGTGACGAGCCGCGCGCCGGCCTCAATAAGCTGCCTCTTGGTCCTCTAGGTCCTCAGGTCCCCTAGGTCCTCAAGGTCCTCTAGGTCCTCAAGGTCCTCTTGGTCCTCTACGTCCTCTAGGTCCTCTTGGTCCTCTAAGCAGCCAGTTTGCTCCAACGGGGCCGAGCAAGGAGACGGGGCGACTTTTTAAAGTTCAGAAAAAGGTCACCACAAGCACTAGAGGAACTGTCGAAAAAGTATGCCTCCGAATCGACTGGAAAACTCTTTGTACTGGGCCTCCTAACTGTCAGTAAGCTCCCTTCAAGAAGTTCGAGCAATTTTCTCCGGTGTGGAATGTGAAAGGCCAGCCGTAAATTCAAACTCGGTCCCTCGCCCTTCGCCCACAGTGCCGCTCGTCGCGCCCCCCGCCGCCATGGCCTCGCGTCGCCACGTGTGTTGCTATGCCCCCCCCCTCTCCCTGTCTCTCTCCCGCCGCGTTGCCATGGCGCCAGGCCGCGCCAGGCCGCACAGCCAGGCCGCCATGTTATTGGTACCCAGCCGGCCTCGAATTACGGCCGTCTCTGTCTAATGTCGGATGATGCTGCTCATTTCGCAGTGCCGTCGTCACTCCGTCTCTCCCGCTCTGCAGGGCAGTCCCGCCGGGGTGCGAGAGAGACAGAGCGGGCCCTGCTGCAGGATGTGGGTGATTGGGGCGTCACCTGCCAAGGCATTCTTACTTTTCGCTCTTTCGGAACCTTATTTATTTTTACTGTGCACCAGGCAGTTGTTGGTGGGTGGGGATTTCAACGGTCCTGTGCATCAAAGTTACGTCGGGGCTTTAGCTCGACACGGAAAATTGAAAAATTTCATTCATTCCGGTTTGTTGCTGCTTTTAGGTCGTCTGAGTCTCATTTCTCTCTCTCTCCCCGATGAGTGTTCAGGACTCTGTGGCCGAGTTCAAGCTCGACGAAACCCTAAGTAATCTTTGTCTAATCGGCTCTTTTTGTTTCTCTTGTAGACGACGGCTACACTACGACCCCAACGACGAGAGGTATGTACCGCGCATCTCTTTCGACGGTTGAGCAAGCTGCAGAAAAAAAACAACCTCCCTGCGACACGACGTTGCTCTATTATTCCAAGAAAATGAGTCTGTGTTGCTGCATCGTTAGGATCTTGCATTAAACGTCCCTTCCGGTTAAACGTATCAGCGCCGAGCGCGCCAAATCTGAGAAAAGGAGAGGCTGCTATCGGCTGCTGATTTGGATAATCGTGTTTTAGCGGTTTGTCGCTCTCTCGCACCCCGAACCCCACGAGTGTGACAGAGACAGACAGAAAATGAAGGGAGGGGTGCATGACAGGGGTGGTCGCTAGCGTGGCCGCAGTGTAGGAGTCACAGCCGGCGGAGACATGTTTTCCTTTCCGTGGGAAATGACACTAGCGCCAGTGCTTAGTCAAGCCAAAGCCAACAAACGGTCCCAAAAGATCGACTCAAATGACTCCCGGGTCGACCTTCTGCCCGGGGAAAGAAAAAAAAGAAAGAAAGAAAAAGGGAAACGTCCCCGGAAAGCGAGGAGCGCCACCGAGACGCCACCGAGTGGGCCCTGCGCAAACAAAAAACACCGTCTGTGTTTATTTATGAAACTACGTTTGCAATCAGAGCCCCGGAGGATGTTTAGGCTGAATCCGATCGGATGTCGCCTCCACGATCTCGACGGCCTCGCCTGACTGTGTCTCGATTCGCAGGGATCATCCCGTGAGCTCCATTTGTCCAGCGGGAGCGCGGGTAACGAACTGGCGCGAGCGAAATGCGATACTACGGCCTGCCTCTCCGTCTCTCTCGCACTCGTGGGGCGTCCCAGGCGGTTCACCGCGGCGCCGTGGCACTGAATGGTTGGTCGTCTCCATAGGTGGGAGTGGAAAGCCACCCGCAGGGGCACTGCCCAATTACGTTATCATGAAAAAAATCTAAAAATTTTGAAAGTGAAAAAAATAAATTTAAAAATTTCTTTGGCAAGCTGTCGACTTTTTTCGCGTGTACCCAAGGGAGTTAAAAAGAATGTGGATGTGTCTCACTCCACTCTTGTCAAAAGTGGATGGTGTGCCGTGATCTCGGTCTAGATGACCCCGATTGCGAGCGGCGCGCGCGACAACGCGACGCTACACTGTAACAACCGTGGCGGAGTGTCAAGCTCACGACTGTGTTTAGCAGTTCGCATGCCTTCCATTAGCAGCGAACGCCACTTTTTATTTTTCTCCCCTCCCCTACACCGGAAGCCCGCCAGATCTTATCTCGCCATATTGCTATTGTGCCGAGTAATGTACTACTACGTGTAACGCACACCGCGTGCATTGACGGGTGGACACTCTAGACTCGGCGGCATTCCTGGGGGTAGGTAACCCTATACACGGACACGGGCAGCGCGCGCGTGTGCGTGTAAAGCCGGCCCCAGTTAGTCGCCGGGTGCGCTGCTGGAAAATAAAAGGGGGTTCAGCAAGACCAGATAGTTGAAATTTTAATTTTGGCGCGGGAAGTTTGGAAGAGGGATCCAGTCGCCGACTGACCCCGGTTTTCAGTTGGCTTCGCAACCATTTCGTAAAATCGAAAATAATGGCGATGGAAGCGCGTACTGGGTTTTACTCTACCCTCGCTGACCTGATCTGATACGAGGTGAGCTGGCGCGGATCATGTTTCCCCGGATCGTTTGCCGTGGCCTGCTACTTATAGTGGAGCCTCACCGCAGGCTGCATGCAGGCACGCTGCAGGCACACTGCAGGCACGCCACTAGAGCCGGCAGCCTCAAATACCGGCTCACTTCGCCCAGCACCCAATCGGGCGGGCTAGTTTTTATTCTCGCTGTCGTTTAGTGAGCTGAATTATTTCAACATGGAAGATAAAGTAGCGCACCATGCAACCTGTGGCAGCTGAAATTTTCACAGTGTGGTGTCCTACAATCAAAATCCGTGAACAGGCAGGCGTTGCGTGGTCCGAATGCTCAAAATTTTCCCGCTAGAATTTTCAGTGTGGCAGCTCACTCTAAAAGATCGGTCCGCGTTTTCCCAATGTTTAGGGTTGACTCCCGCGGAAGCTTCAGAGGGTACATCGGGATAGAATTCAGTGTCCGAAATGGAATTTTGGGACTGGCAGCAGCGGACACTTGACGCGGGAAGGGGGACTCGTTGTCACTCGTTGACGGCGACCCGGCTGCGGCTCGACTTCGGCTCGACTTCGGCTCGACTTCGGCTCGACTTCGGCTCACTCGCCCCCTTCTCGACCGTCACTGCAATCCATCCCCCCGGCCGGCCGCTTGCGAAAGATTCACCTCGTCGCTCTGTCTCTCTCGCACTCACGGCGCGTCCCGTCTGCGTGCGAGAGAGACAGAGCGACGCCCCTTCGGTGCCCTTCGGCCAAGTGGCGCGTACGTCGCGACGCTTTCGGCGACAAGTCAGTGGGGTTGACACTGTCGCAGCGGCGACACCAGCCCCACAGTGTGGCGGCACGGCGCGGCGCGGCGGCAGTTTCATGAATAGATATCCATCTGACATTGATGGCGTTCGAGTGAATAAACATAGTAGGGCCATCCAGCCGGAAAAATATGCCCCGCTGGACTGTGGCGCCTCGCTCTGTCTCTCTCGCACCCGCGGGGCGCCCCGTAAGAGAGAGAGAGAGAGAGAGAGAGAGAGAGAGAGAGAGAGAGAGAGAGAGAGAGAGAGAGAGAGAGAGAGAGAGAGAGAGAGAGAGAGAGCACCGCACCGTTTCGGGAAAAAGCGCGCTGTGGCGCCGACAGTCACAACGCGCACACATCGCGCCTTCCGGCTTTCTGTCATTTATTTCTTCCTGCATTGTGACTTGCCGCGCATTCGCGGTAAATATAGCGCGCGGTCAGCCGCTCTTTGTGTGACTGACTCAATATAATATTCGGCGCGCTGAATGCGTCGGTGCGGCCACGCCGCCCCGCTTGCGCGCAATGCGGCTTTCGGATCGGATTTGCGTTCCTGCACTGCAGAGCGGCCGGAAGAAAAAAAGGCGCGCTTTTGCACCGAATTGATTATGGCCTCCCTCTGAAAGCGGCATAACTCGCTTCCCTTCGGCGGGGAATCGCTCTGTCTCTCTCGCGCCCCTGCGGAACGCCCCAGAGAGACAGAGCGCCGCACAGTGGGGTCTGAAGACCGGCGAAGGCGGCCAAAAACTCTACACGCGTTTTGAGCTCCAGAGTCGCCAAATGGGACTAGGACTGAACGTGTGACCCCACCAATGGATTCCTCGTTCGGAGAGCAATCACACGTTTGGTTCGAGTCCCATTTGGCGACTCTGGAGCTCAAAACGCGTTCAGAGTTTGGCCGCCGGCGCCGTCCTTCTGGCCCACTGTGTCCAAGCGGCGCCCTGTCTTTCTCACGACCATTACCGCGGCAAACGAAATGGATGAAATCCACACAGAGCGACCCAACCTAGCCCGGCATGAATCACGGGCCGCTTGTTTTACTGACAAGCTGTCGCCCCGCGACAGGGTAATGCGGTGGACGCGGTGGGCCGCGGTGGGCGGGGCCAAACAAATCACTGCCTTCTCGAAGATAATGATGAGCGAGCAGCGCAAGCAGCGCCGCTAAAGCACCGCCACCCACAACAAACAGCCGGCCGGCCGGGCCGTGCCGACGAGCGCGACGAGCGCCAATCCACGGCCACCATTATGTCGCCCACTCGGTCTGGGCAAACGCTCATTCCAGGAGCTGGCTGTGTGTGTGTGTGTGTGTGTGTGTGTGTGTGTGCTCGTGTCAGTGTGAGAACCTGGGCCCCGAGACTTCTGTCGTCCTTTTGTTTAGTTTCGGTGAGAGGGGAAGGGGGAGGTTAGAAGTTGTGTCCCCGAAGAAAGTGTCCACCTTGGCATATACACAGCGCCGCACGGCGCCCCCTCCCTCTTGAACCTCGATAGTTTACATCTCTTTGTGGCCCTCGAACGATACTAGCATGCTTGTCTTGTCTCCGAGTCAACATACCGCCGCCCGAATCCGACGGATCCTCTCTCTCTCGCACTCCTGAGCGGTGCCCCCGTGAGTGCGACAGAGACAGACCGACGGTGAAAGGATCGTTCGGGTGCGGAACCGGGCCGCGGGAGGGCTCCTGTGCGTTTGGACGAAATGCGCGACGGGTGCACGCTATTAATACGTGCACATGGCCATTTGTATGCAAATCCCCAAGGCCGCTGTCCGCCACACTGGAAGCCACACTGGCCGGGGTGCTGTCGGACTCACACGCAAATCGTGTAATGCGCCGCGGCTTGCCTTTGTGCGCGGCGGATTCCGAGAGTCGTCGCTCTGTCTCCCTCGCACTCACGGGGCGTCGCGTGGGGGTGCGAGAGAGACAGAGCGCGTTGTTGAATGAGGTGAGCGAGGACTAACAGGCCCTGCTCGGCGTGTTCCAGGATGCAGCAGCACCAGCTGGGCTCGCAGCTCGCCAACTCGAGCGGCAGCTCGCGGCGCAGCGGGGACGCTCACTCGCCGGCGCCGGGGGACACGGACTCGGACTCGGACATCAGCCTGGGCGCCAACACGCCGCCGCCGGACCTGCAGTACTCGCCGCCGTACGGCCGGTCGCGGTCGCGCTCCAGGTCGCCGATCAACAGCAGCCGGTCGCCGCGGCGGTCGTCGCCGTCACCGCCGCCCTCGGACTACCCGTCGACGCTGCTGAGGTCGTCGTCGCCGCCGCCGTCGAGCTACGCGTCGGCGCTGTGCATGACGCGGCACCTGCTGCCGCCCAACCCCGCCGGCCTCAGGTTCACGCACTCGCCGCCGCGGCCGCCCTCCCCGGGCATGCCCGGCAGCATCGGCAGCATGCCCGGCAGGCTCAACCTGTCGGCCGACTCCTCGTCGCCGCCCCCCAGCTTCCGGCCGCGGACGCTGTCGCCGCTGCACATGGGGTCGGCCATGCGGCTGCGGCAGCTCAGCCCGCCGCCCATCTCCAGCGGGCTGCCCCTCATGACGCAGACGCAGCCCGCCAGGCCCCTGCCGCGGACGCTGCACCGACCCTTCTCGCCGCCCAGGCTCACGTGATACCCCTCGTGCCCGCGCCGCGGCACCGCCCGCGATGCACGAGCTTGTCAACTTGCGGCTGTGTTCCTACTTTAAAGACTTCGTTAGGGCGGCCCCGGCGTCTGGTGTCTTTTCTTGTTTTTTACGGACGCCCGGGCCAAATCGCGACTCTTGTCCTTCCATACCGCTCCGCCGTCACACTGGAGTCACTTTTTGTATGTTTGTTGTTGGTGCGTCTTGCTGCCTGTCAGTACAATGGGGGAAAGGGAGATTCGGTGTGCAAGGCAGAACCTCTTTTGTTTTTCTTCCACATGAAAATGTAGAGAGCTAAACAAACTCAGGGCATAGAGTTAAATGAAATTCGCCTGTAGGTATGAAGTGATATTGACTGTTTAAACTGTGTGATATCAAAGCTATTGACTGCGTCATCAATATTGTTCAAGTTCAGGCGGTCGTAAGTTTAAAACCAAACGCGTTCGTGAAACAGTCCTTTATTGCTGATTTTCGTTGACCTCTGGTTCCCTATTCGAGTCGAAGGTTAATGTGATGTCATCTTCGTTTTGTAAACTTAGAAAAATATTAGCCAAAAATGTTTATGCTGTTAAGTTACGGCGGCAACCTGGGTCTCCTCTCGTTCTTTCAAACGGTTTTGCTTGAATCTCGTTTCGTTGGCCTGTCCTACACTGTTTTAACGCAAGGGAAGCAGAGTGCCGCCACCTCTTGCGTTTGTCTTCTCGATGACGCATAGTACCTACGAAAATTTTATAGCATTAATTCATTATATTTTGTTATTGTTTTGTAACAGTATAGTTATTGTGATTTTGATCAGTATATCTCCTGTTTTCCGTTCCATTTGATATATTTGATTTGCTTCGTGCAAGGAAGATTACGTCTCCATCGGATGCGAACCGCAGTTCCAAGCAGCTTGCGTTGGCGACTGTTTTGGGCAACCGGTGGAGACGTACAAAAGAATTATTCAAAGTGCAATATCAAAATGACCATTTATTTGTACAAATGTAAATGAACGTGGTAAATTATTTCTTTGTCTAGAAGCACAAATAAATTAAAAGCCTAAAAGTATACAGATTTGTTTTTGTTCTTCTATTAATTTAATGCAACTTTTTAACCCGAGTGTGGATTTTTTGTGATATCTCATGAAGTTACTCATGTCTAAACTCTCAGATAATTGAACCCAGCACTTCCTATAGCGTAGTCTGCTATTAATTATATCGAAACACTTTTTATACGCCTGCAGTATTGTAACAAAAGTCACTATATTGTTTATTATGCAAAGAGTTTCTGTAAAGCTCCACCAGCAAATATCGAAAAATGGTGTTGTTGATAAACTGAGAGATAAGAAAATGTAACGCTATGTATAGTATAAATATTATATATTGTAGATACTGTATATTGTGCTATGAGCTCTTTTAAAATTATGAATTCTATATATTGTATTGTACATATTTAAAGTGCGCAAAATAAATTACAAATTTAAGAACATCATCATTACAAACACATTTTTCCTTATTTTTCGAAACCATTCCCACCCGGTCCACTACTCAACGCATCTTGATGAAGTGTTCTCGTGTCGTCACACGCAGCGCCAAGTCGCGATTTTGGCTTCACGCGACAAGAAAATTTCACGCTCACTGAACAAACTGTGTGATGGTTTACATTTGGCGGGGTAATCTGATGGCCCTTAGCTTTCACGCCTTCTCGGTGACACTGGGGGGACAGTTCTGGGAAGCCGTCGAGGTGTTGCTGTATGCTGCGCGCGTGTGTGTGCGTGTGTGTGTGAGTGAAAGAAGACACTATCTCCTTCGGGTCGACAGAGTCCATCTCCTGAATGTATCCATTGAAGGTATTGATGCTCTCTTCCAGGCCCGGAGGCCTTCCAGGACGGGCGGCAGAGCACTGCAGGGCGAGATCCTGTCTGCCAACATGTCGAAGCTTACTGTCACTCCCAACTTCATAATCCACAGTGAAATTTTTGGGGAGCAGAGACTATATGGAGCAATTTTCATGAGCCATGGGAAACGTCAGAGAATGGACTTTTAAATCTAAATTGCGGGCTGAACAGGAAACTCCAATTCAAAATTTAGGAAGGCGTCGGGGAAACGCCAGTAAATGAAATTTTCTAAAACAGTGTTGAGGCGAGCCGCCGCAGCACCACCGCGAGCTTGCAACCTTATTTTGAAAAGCAGGCTGGGAACCCTGCTCGAGCAGTAATGCGATTACCGCACCAAACAGCGCCGGGTCGCGCGGGTCGTGTTTTGGTCGATGCGACTATCCGTCCCCTTTATTGGTAAAATAAAAATACTCTCATCCATTGCGCCATCCCTCGGCATGCAGCGCAGCCATCGCGATGCGTATCAGACTCTGTCTCTCTCGCACCTCCAGGCGACGCCCCGTGAGTGCGAGGGAGACAGAGCGACGGACTCTCGGAAAGGGCGGCCATGACATTTAATCCGCGCCTCTCTTTGTCCGGCCTCCAGCTGTTACTCACACCTCGCTCGCACCTTTTCGCACCTTCGCCTATCCCTTCGCCTATCGCGCTCGCTCTAATCCGACGGGGACATTGTCCGCCACACTCCCCTTGCATTTTAATTCGTGCCGCTGCAGCCGCCCGCCAGTGGCGTAGCCAGCCAACTGCACTGCTTTCGTCGCTCTGTCTCTCTCGCGCTCATCGGGCGGCCCGCACGGGTGCGAGAGAGACACAGCGACGAGGCTCCGTTCAGCAGGCGTTCGTCGTGCGGCCGATTCTGAATTTCGTCACTGTCTCACCGAGTGCGGAATGATCCGAACCACGAGGAGAACTTCTCCGAGCTCGCGGGAAACAAGGGACTCGCCGATCATGGCGGAGGGACGGCAGGGCGCGGCGAAAGGCTTATCCCGCTTGCAGTGCCGGACAGCGCCGTCTCTCTCGCACTCACGGGGCGTCCCGTCAAGGTGCGAGAGAGACAGAGTGATATAGCACGAAATCACCCCGCAGCAACCGCGTTACACCGCAGCGTCGCCGTCACAGTTACCGTCTTCTCGACGCGACGCTCCCCGGGGACCGCGGCGGGGCGGGGTGGTTATGAGGCGGCTGGGCTTTCGCCTCGCCCCGGGCTTGTCGGACAGTGGCGTGGCGCCATAGGACCATGAGGCTGAGCTGATACGCAGGCTCAGCGCCGGGCCATGGGTCCCAGGCCGGCAGGCCCTGCACTGTCGGCTAGCCTGGCTTCTGCCTCTAATCCGCTGGCACACTAACAGCGCCAAACTCGGGCCGCGTGCGAAACGGCCCCGACAAAAGTTGCTATGCCGAGTCGCTCCGTCTCTCTCGCACTCACAGGGCGTCCCGGGCCGGTGCGAGAGAGACAGCGCGACCGCGGAGGGCGCTTCCGGGACGTGGGCTCGGTTTGCAGGCAGCCGCAGGCAACCGCACTGGAAGCCTCATCCAGCCATCGGCCCACCGGCCGCAAGGCACTGCCAGGCACCGCCAGCCGGGCCGCAGTCTGAGCTGTATTATGCCAAGAGGGCGGTGCGGACGCGATCCCACCAGCTGCTTTTTGCGCCCGGACGCGCTCGCAAAAACGGGAGCGAGGGGACACTGGGAAAAGGGCGGGTCCCAGAGCGTTTCATGTGATAAAATTCTTGGCTGCGAATGTGAGCATGAGTGGTAGTTCCGGTGCTCTGGTGGGTTGCCGCCGAGTTTGACGAGGTGCCACGGGCTCGTGTCTATCCATGTGTCGGTGTGTGTGAGAGAGAGAGAGAGAGAGAGAGAGAGAGAGAGAGAGAGAGGAGAGAGAGAGAGAGGGGGGGGGGGAGGGGGGGATGCTGCTGCGGTGATCACACACACGTCCATGTTGTGTTTGGCGCCGGTCGACGCGCTTCTGAATGCCAAAGCGACTGATTTACTTTTTCTGCCGATACTCCTTCCACCGGCAGGCGGACAGACAGACAGAGAGACAGACAGACAGGCAGGCAGGCAGGCAGGCAGACAGGCAGGCAGACAGACAGACAGACGGGCTGCAGAGGGAGGAAAAGTAAAATCGCGCGGGAGGTGGCTTAGAGCGAGCCAGCAGGCTGATTCCGGAACGGTGCTTCCTGTCTCTCTCGCACCCCCGCGGAACGTCCCCTGAGCGCGAGAGAGACAGAGCGACGAACCTTCGTCTCGGAAGCGGAGCGGGGCGCGGCGCGGATTTGGGGAACACGTGCCAAGTTTGGCTCAGCGCGGCGCGGGGCGGGGCGAAGGTGCGGCAATGTAACGGAACAAAGAGAAAAACAACAGAGAAGTGAATGAGATAAAGAGAGAGGCGGGATTGATTCTCAGGCATCGCCTTGGCGCCCTGGCCTCGCTAACAAGGGCAGACACACACATGCTTCATGGATTTTACGTGTGTCAGTGTTTTTTTTTCCTCAGCCAGACTTCAAAGAGCGGCAGGCAAGACGTGTTTGCATCGTTTTGAGAGGCAGCCGTAATTCTCGGCACAGACTTTTGTTCTGTTTGTATTGATCGCCGTCTTTACAGTGTGCACGCGAAGCGAGAAGGACGGAGCTCTTGTCTTCCGGCGCCTTTCCCCTGCACTGAGAAATTTCACCCAAAACGGGGCAGTTGTTTGCTTCGAGAGTAGTGTGATTCCGCATGCGCCGCGAGCGCCAAGGGGGCGAGAGAAAGAAAGAGAAAGAGAGAAAGAAAGGGTGAGGCGGAGAAGGAGAGAAACAGAGAGAAGAGCGAAAACCGCATGTGTGTCGGATAATGTCCCCGTGCTGAGATATCGATCACGCCCCCTCAGCCTGGCCCTTTGCAGCTCCAGCCCCCCCTCCTCTCTCTCTCTCTCTCTCTCTCTCTCTCTCTCTCTCTCTCTCTCTCTCTCTCTCTCTTTCCCCGGGGCCCCATGGCTGCTGTTTCCCTCCCCAATCTCTCCCGAAAGCTCTTCCCGGCTGTCGTCAAATCCACACAATCCACCCACACATCTTCCCCCTCCCCCCTCTCTCTCTGTCTCTCTCCCTCTCTTTTCTTTTCTATTCCGTCCGCCCTTTTCGCCAGTTTTCGTCCGCCTCGGAACGGACGCCGCACGCGGCGGTGCAGCCCGCCGTGTTTCACAGTGGCGCCACCTCCGCGACTTCCAACAACAACAACAACAACAACAACAACAACAAGCAAGACACGGCGTCCGGAAGAGCATCGTGATTCCGTTGGCGGCCCTGTGCGGCGTGGCGCGGCGTGGCGCGGCGTGGTGGCCCGTTGGTGGTGTCAGTCTCACGGCCAGCCAATCGCGAGCGAGCTCTGTTATGGATCCGCCGCGCCACGCCCCGCCACGCCCCGCCGCTCCTCGACGCGCTGCGGCGCGCTCTGCGTGGCTCTGCGGCGACGGACGAGCCACGCCCTCCGGACCGCTGAAAAAAAAAGGGGGACGCTTTTTTCAGGAAGCAGCGCGAAGCGGTCTGAAGAAGTGCGGAGCGAAATCGCATTTGCGAGCTTGGTACTTTGAATGAAGATGTTCCGGTCGGATTTAGTAGTTAGATACAACTCGTTCTACACAGAAAGTTCAAGTCAAGTTAAATCAAACCATTAGCTTTTCGGATCTTTTGACCAGGTTTTTGTGAACTGTTCATAGGAAACTCATTTGGCAAAATTAATTTACTGAAAAAAAAAGAAAAAAAAAAACCTATTGTTCTTTTCTTCACGCAGTGAAATGTATTAAATTCTTTCACTGAAAATTCACTGTAAACGTGGAAAAAAATGAAACTAAAAAAAATGGCGTGAAAAAGCCGCGCTTCCTTCCATTCCGAGTCCAGTGCTTCTCCTTGGTTTGTGCCTTTCACACGACGTCACAAAACGCCACTTTGCGGGGGAAGGCCGGGCTGGCTGCCCCGGCTGCCCCACGGCTGCCCTGGGCACGTCAGCCAGAGAGGATCCATTCATCCGCCAATCATACACTTTGCGACCTCACAATGACTGCGGCGGGGGCGGTGGAGGCGGCGGTGGAGGGGCCGCGGGCATATTACGTCCACCGCGCGACCTTCTTCGTGGCCTTCCTGTGTGGCAGCAACGCCAATCCGCGGGGAAAATGCGCGACACACTGTAAATAAAAACAA